GTATTTATCATTGGCAAAGGTACAAAGCCATACATTAGCTTACCAAGAGACAAAGGTGTTAAACTTTCAATTGCCGAAGAGCGTGATAAGAGGTTAGCAGCAAAGGGAGTAAATTAATGTACATTTGCAAAAAAACGTTCAATAAACCGAGAATTTCTTGGTGAATATAAATATTCTGCACCTTTATCCTATAATTATTTATATGTGATATTTTAGAACACAATGATATAGTATATATGATATTTTCATTAACATCACAATTCTATCACAATTATAACATGATTTTAAAAAATATCTTGCTATTAAAAATATTGAAAAACATTTTTATGTGTTAAAAATGTGTCTTAAATGTAATATTATAAAATTTAATTGGTCAAAGCATATTGTGCTGAAATTTATTTAAAAGATGAATAAAATATAGAGAATATTTGTTAAATCATTTTGATGGCAGCCAAATTTCAGTATTAAGTTCTAACATTTTTCGTAATGTAGCATTATATTGTTCGTCTCTATATTTCTCATTTTTCTTGTGTACTTCTTTGGCAGCTTTCAAATATCTGTAAAAGCAAGATTAACCAAATGTATTTTTATATTTTTATGTAAATTGAAAAAATTTATCAAAATTATTACTTTTGTATAGAAAGAACTGTATTTCTAATTTCTTTTTCTATCTTTCTTGTAGATTCTGATAAAGATACATAATCAATAGTATATTTAGGTTTTATTGATATCAATGGATAAATGCGGACCCATCCTCCTTCACTTGTACATGGTTTACTCCAATCTTTACCATTATCCCATATCGATGTTTTATCATTGTTTTGTGGGTTATTACCCTGAAAACCGCGTGGAATGTATTTATCCACTAATAAGGGAGTGTAAAGAGACCACAAATTTGAAGAATTGTTGATGGTTGAATATTTGAGCTAATGATTAAAATGAGTATAGAACTTAATATTTTTGCTAACAATTCAGTATTTAATATTCTCTTTTAGATACGTACAGTAGGCCGAAGTTCCGTGCATATGTTTAAAAAACCATCAGTTTCCCGATAAGTTCTCGATTTTTTTTTCATTGTTCGATTTGTACAATACTTGGAAGACATTTCAACCTCATCATCAATTGCTGACCATATTGTAAAAAGAGAAAGTCCAGTATTACATACTGGAAGACCTAATAAATCGAATAAATCATGCAGTAGAGGTTTCTTCACTTCAGAATCAATCTCGCAATCATTACTTAAACCTGGGCTAAGATTCACCTATTGAATCATTTTTCAAATGTTAGCAATAATTTTTATTATTTTTAAGTGAGTAAGATATATGTTTTTTAACCTCTAATAACCATGGTTTTAAATTTGTATCAATTAATACATCAAATCCAAAGAATTCAAAACAATTAGAAGATTTTGGTATGCTCGCAGCTTGACTTAGTATTGTTAAACTAACTAAACAAGCTATCCTCTGCCAAAGGAACCAATCGTAATATCCAGCTTGTTCAAAATATCTTCTTAATTGTCTAAAAGTCCATTTACAACCTGCAAAAGTTCGAATCATACTTGTAATATAATGATACAAAAAAATTTAACTTATAAATAATTTATAATCATTTTATACCAGAACCGATGCGTTCTTTTTTCTCAGAATATCCTGGACCTAACTTATTCAAGGAAAAGTTAGTGAGATGTCGGAAAGGATCATTTAAATGTTCTAATGAAAATTTTTCAGTAGCAAATCGTGCTAATCCTTCTTTATACAAGTATATCGTCAGAGGTCGATAAGAAGGTACGCACACGTACAATCGTAAATCGAATTTATAGCCTCCGATTAAAAGAGGATTCTCAATATATCTTTGAACTATTGCTGCATTATCATATGTAAGATCGCTTAATTTCTATAAACATTATACATTTAATAAATTTATTAATTATATTCTTTTTCAAGATGCTATTCATCCAAGAAATTCTTACACGAAACAAGAAAATCCCTTTCCCTTGACTTTGACCAACTGGTTTACAAATCCAAACTCTATCATGCTCGCAACGACTCCATTCTTCTGCTAATTTAGTATATTCCGATGGCAAATTATATCCTACAGGACTAATGCGTTTTATTTTTGATTAAACATTATTTTTACGCAATGTGTTTATTATATATTGTAGATTATACCTAAAATCATAGATCGAGCCGTACATTTTTTTCATGCATCTAAGATGACGGATAAGATTATCTTTTCTACAGATTGAACTTCCTTTTGGAATTCTGTTGATAAACTAAAATGCATATAATTTATATAATAATTTTGATAAACATTTTTTAACAACATTTCAAAATATTTTCTCGTAATAAATTTTATTATCAATTATTTTAGAAGAAAAAATTAGATGCGCTATTACCTGCCACGGAAGTAATAGCTTATAATGGGGTAAAGGGAAACCGCCGGATCGCCACCATAAATTCCATCGATCTTTGAATACATTATTTTCGCCAGTATATTCTCTCCAACCACGTTCTGTACAAACCTGTGATCAAAGTATGCAATTCATTTACATTTTCATTTATTACATATTATTTACTTGGTATTTATTTATATATTTTATTATATATTATATATATTTACAGATAAATTTTTTTTTTTAAATAAGAAAAGGATCTTGTGAACGCGTGATTCGAATGAATGAAACAATAGATATACTCTATATTCTACAACTAGGAAAAGTTTGTGCATGAGAAAATAACAGAAATGTTGATTTATTTGCCGTGTTATTAGAGCATTAAGAATGGTTACTTCAAAAGTGAACCAAGGCCTCTAATTACAATTAAATTCGAGTATATCTCTTTTCACTGTTACGGTAGCCTACTTTTATTATTCTTTTCTTATATCATCGATTCGCTATGAAAGGTCATCGACCACATTTACACCCTGCTCTTATAACCTGAATTACTTCTATTCATCATAAGAATTTGATTTCATCCATAGGAATATCAAATTTATTATTAAATTTATATCAAAGTTGAAAATAAAAATAAAATATTTTCAATTATATTGCGTATATAAACTTTGCTCAAATTAAAAATATAGAGATAAGAATAATTAAATGGAAAAAATATATAATCGTAATAATCTCGAGCAATAAATTCTTTTTCGTTAAAGTTCGGATAAAATTTTATAAACATAAGATAGAGATCATAAACCATAATGAGAGATCTCTATCATCGTCACGATGATTCTACTCTTTGCCTGTCATTATTACATATTGCGCTTACTTAATAGCTTTGTTTCTAAAAATGGTGCACGCAAAAGCGCGTCGCATCTTATTTGACTCTGCAGGTATGTACGTGCATGTGCACATCGTATGTACCTTGAAAAGTATTCAGTTCAAGGGCATGGCTAAGTTTGTAACCATGTCGAACAAATTCCAAACGACATAAAAGCGTGGCGGAACGTATCCAACATTTATGTACTTACTTACCGATGTTATATATATTCATTGTATTTCAAAGTTGAAACCATTCATGTAATCATGATACACACATGTTTGAAATTGAAATTGATTTGTTCGATTTTCAATAAAAACATACATAATATATATAACGGTAAATAGTTAAAAGTAAATTCAAGCAAAATATTATACCTGTGTAAGAAGATGTGGTCCTGTACCATTGTCGTTGAGTCTGAACACAAAAGGACCATCCAAGTATTTCACTGCCATAACGAAACATTATATTTTGGAAGATCGCGCGAAGATAATAATCACAATTAATGGTATCACAGTACAACCAGTCTTCCTTTTCACAATAATAAAGAAAATTTTATTTCTTTGATTAAATTCTTTGTGTAAAACAAAAAGAAGAAATATAAAGTTTATATTTTTACTTAAAAATTTCCAAATTTGATGAGATATCTTGTCATATTTTTACACTTTTCATTCACAAAACGTTAATATGTATACAAATACTTCTTGATAATTTGAAAATCGTGTTCAGGTACATTTTTCATCATTTTTCGTTATCTTTTTCCTATCCGAAAAAGCGGCTTTTCAACGATTACAACAAGTTAAATTTTCAAAATGGCATTTCTATCGATGATTTAGTAATGTTTAGTAATGTTTAGTATTTAAATATTTTGAGATGGATCGCATGCAAGCGAGCCGGATTCTCGATTCTCACTGGTGCACCGCCACGTTTCAATCTACGCAATCGCTTTGACCTGGTCGCAGATGCGCAGGTTGCTCGTATGCCGCCTTTCACGTTGCTTCCTAGCTTTTATGAGCTTTTGCTGGACACCGGAAGTTTCATGGACCGCGAACTTCCAAAACAAGTTAGATTTAGATGTCTGTCTAAAGATTATTACACGCGACTTTCAAACAAATCTATTAAACAAGAAATAACATATCGAGTAGAGTTCAAAGTTTCATGATGATGATGATGATGATGATGGTGATGATGGTGATGGTGTGTATTGTTGATCACAACGATTCTTTTACTTTTGCTTAAAAATTTATTATACTTCCTCTATACTCAACACGTTTGTTGAATTAGAAAAAACACTTGAGTGATATTCTAATTTAAGCGATTGTATTATTGGAAGTACATTCATTGAAGTACACGATTATAATATATCAATTGTAAAAAGATTAACCAGAAAAATGTTTCGCGTGTCTAGCTTCGTAGATAGGAGGTACCGCAAGGTTACTTTAATGACAAATCGATGAAACGTCCCTTACGGACAACTTCTTCCTGGTTAGAGACGAAATGGTTTATGATCGGGTCTTCATAATTTTCTGCCTCTAATAATTTTACACCGGATCTTTCCTTTACAGATTCTAACCGCTATTTATGACACGAATAACTCGTACAATACAATATGGTTTAACTATTGTGTATGGTTTCTTTTTTATTTTTTTTTTATTTTTTTTTTTCAATGATTTGAATTTTTTTTTACTTGGAATTATATGGGAAACAGATATCGAGAAGTAAAATTTATAGACAATAATTTACACGAACATTTTAGTTTATTGTAAGCAACACGGATAACATGGATACAGAAGCTCGTTGCGATATTCAACCAGTAGTCGATCTAATTAATATTATTAATCCTAAATGATAAATTGCATCCTTCATAGTACTGCGTCAATCTATCGCGACACACATCGGCCACATCCAATTGGTTGGGATGATTTCAGATCGAAGAAAGGATTCTTCTTTTCTTTCTTTCTTTCAATCGAATCGACTTCTTAGCATCCCTTGTACGAAATCTGTTTACGCGAGTATTGCGAACGCCGCGTGTTCTTACTTACTAAATTATACAATATACGCTTATAAATACGTCCTCCAGTTTTACTAGCTTTGCTAATTCGTTCCGTCATAGCTACTACATGACACGAGTCTGTAATAAATGGCACAGAAATCGGTAACCTTTTCTATAATTACATGGCAATTGCTATCAAGTATGTCAGAATTCTCGATGTCGAATTTATATCAAATTTTATTTTCTTCTTTGCACCCTGAAAGCTAAACGGATTTCAAACGGAATTTCGTGTGTGTAAAACGTGTGTTGTTCTCCTCTCTGGCGTACAATTTTAGCTAGAAGAATTTCCAGACAATTTGCTCGTGCCAAAATTAAAAATGTTCCTGGCAAAATGATTGGCCAACAAAATGACTGGAAATAATAGTCAAGCCTGTTATTTAGCTCGTCTTCAAATTACGCCTGATTTCAGGGGTAATGTACAATTTTGCTGCCGTATGTTGATATAAATAAAATTTCTATGTATTATAACATTTTAACTAACAACGAGTCTACTTTCACATCCGAGAGGGATGACAAGTTATATCAAACTCGTCAATTGACAATCCACGCGCGCACAATGTAAAGTACTCGTCGTTTTTCGATCGCAATCACGAATTTGAAATTCGAGTCATTGAGAGATAATTTTTGAAACATGGATTGAACAAAGTTTAAATTTTTCTTCCTAAAATTCTGATCGTTCGCTCGTTGAAAAAAAAAACCCCAGGAGAAGTTTTTTCGTCGTTTAAGGCTTTTTTTTTTTTTTATCAACACCCAATCCTCTCCTGAATCTCCAAGGAAACGGGCCGAAACATTTTCGTGTTGGGTGCACTTTGGTAATGCGAAATATGTGATAATGCCAGTAATACTAATTGCTTGGATGACCTTTGCGTGATTCGAGCAGGAGACCAAGTCGGCGCGTTTATTGTATCGTTGCAGAATTTTCTGCGGCAACGATTTTACGAGGTATTCGAGACCCGTCGTCCGCCAAGGGAAACGTGATCACTTGTGTCGCGAACATTAAAAGCGGAACCGTAAGCAGAAGGAGTTTGCGTCTCATCGATATTTTATGGCTGCTTAATCCACCAATTAGTCGTGGAATGTCGAGGTAGCGAAACGCGAGGAACTTTTGCCAACTCGATAGCCTCTCGAGAAGTTCTTCTCACTAACCTTCGTCCAAGGGAAATTTTTAATCTCGAAAATCGGAAACTAGCGAGTTAGTGCGAGTGTGTGTGTAACCCTTCCCTTCCATTCGAAGGGATATCTCCTCTTTCTTTCGTTCGAATTCAATTGCAAAGCAGCCTAATTAAACCCGGTTAATTAATTAACTTCCGTTCTCTGATATTGAGTCGCGACTATATACCGGATAATCGTCCACGCGATAATTGTCACTTTGAACTATGAACCTAGTTGAGTAGTTGTGCCGAGTAGTACAATTGCTTAGACAGTTACGTGGGCGCTTAGTTATAGTATAGTATTATCGTAAGCGAGCACGATCACGAAAATTCGAGAAACGTGATTATATTTGGAGCTACGATCTTTGATATATATGAAGGACATTTTTTTTTTCTTCTCTCTCTCTCTTTTCTTTTCTATTTCGTTTTTATTTTCGATCGACTTTGCCGACTCGAAGGTTTCCTGCTTTTAAGCAGAGGAAGTAATCAAGGGAATTATAATTAATCGATTAATGCAATTAGTTCGCATTTAATTCGTACTCGTAAATAAATATTTATATACCTCGTAAATCGTCCTATAATTATTTGGCGTTAAAAGCTGTTTTTTTTTTTTTTAACACCGATTCGTTTTTTTTTCTTTTTTTTTCTTTTTTTTTTTCTTTTTTACGATCGTGTTAGTTGTCGTCGACCGAAAACAATTATAAGAAGACAAAAAAAAAAAAATAAATCTCGATAAAATATAATTTATGCAGACAAAAATTCGTGCTCATCATAAAGCTAAGATAACGCGATTTCCTTTTGTAATTTTTTTTTTTTTTTTTTTCCCCTACTTTCCAGCCTATTCTTCTTTCAAATAGTCCCTTCCCATCCCCTCCCCCTCTATTCATTCCCCTCTTTTCTTTTCTTGCTTCTTAACATTTCGTCAAGAATCATGTATTAACGTGCATGATTTTTGCAGAATGGACGACCACCCTTCGCGTAAAAACTTTGGCCTTCGAGATTTTTCTTGCACATCTGTAACAACATAACAACAACCGGCCCGATTAAAATACGTTGATTCTTTGATTCTCTCTACGCTAGAGATCGATCGGTTTATTTCGAGAAGCATTCTCGCACTAATTGCGTACCGTGCAGTTGAAACACTGGCTGTGGTAATTATTGTTCAGGGCCTCCACCCAGCGATCTCCAGCTTCGACTGGGAATCCACACGCGAAACATTTTGTCGTGAATAATTCGTTCCAATCTGAAAGGTAATAATATAATAAATAGTTAAAGAAAAAGAAAAATCTTATTTTTTTATATATTCGTTTTTTTTTTTTGATCTAATTAAGAATTATTGAATTAACCTGCTTCACAGTAGGGCAATCCTTCTTCGAGGAAGAACGGGCTGTTACCAAAGAGTTTGCCGCAATAGGAACATTTGAAGCATTCAGGGTGGAAATGCTTTCCAATTGCGTTTAGACAATCCTGAAATCGATCAAGAGATCGGTTAAGTTTGGTTCGAGTTTTTTTAACGATATTATTTTAAGAGAAAAACTTACTCCTTTGATTTTGTTGTTGCATTTGTTGCAGCTTGGCGCGATGAAACGTTCGAAACAATATTCGCAGTAGAGTTGTCCCTTTTCCTCTACGAATCCGATATCTTGTAATGGTCGACGACATTGTGTATTCACGCAGACGAAGTGATCGGGGCACCAAATTTGTCCCAGAGCCGTGATGAATGGTCCCCTGAACGTGCATTTCAACGTGATTACTTATCTTCCAGATTTTTTTCTTTTCTTTTTTTAAAGGTAATGCGAGGAAGCAAAACACAACAAATCGAAACGATAATTGCCCATAAATCGATCATTTTTACGAACCTTATACACTCTTTGTCGTTTTTACAGCACACTGGCTTTATGACGAGACCGTTCGACTTGTGATTAGTATTTTCTTCGTTAGCTGTTAACATCGTGCAAACAAGTTAACATTGTTAATCACATCAAAACAAGGTAACGCTATTATTAAAGCTATTCAAAAATCGAATAAAAAAAAATCAATTTATATACATCTGCGGATATTCGTTGGCATTTAATAACAATAACAAGCAATTTCAAAAAAGAGAGAAAAAAAATATATATTCTGTACAAAAAGAGAAAGAGATTACAAAATCGTTGCTGCGTTTTCTAAGTCTAGCAATGTGTCTCCTAGAAAAAAAAAAAAAAGAAATGGGATCAAGTTTTTTACACAAAGAAAAAAATGGTAAATTAACCCAAAATATTCTATTCGGGGAAAAACAATTTAAAGACACCACAATCGTCGGTGAGAGAGAGAGAGAGAGAGAGAGAGAGAGAGAGACTCCCT